TGTATCTTCCTCCCTTTCTGTTCTACAAATATACCCTTCACATTCTCTGAAATAGTTGGCTTTGCTTCCAGTTGCTTTAGCTTTCAAAAAAGAAGGAAATTCACTTTTCTCTTCAGATAAGGCCTTCAGAATATCAGCATAGTTGTTGAGAACAAGAATGGCCTTAAAGAAGATTAAAATGGAGTTTTATACCTTCCTTAATGGCAATGTTGCAGCACAGCTTCAACATATAAACAGCAAAAACAAATCTCACCAGGCCCTCGCTCCTTTACCCAATGCCCAAGCTGGTTATGGGGYGCCTTTGATCCAGAACTGAAGTCACAGATTGTTTAGCACAAATCATGTGCTACGTGTAGGCACGGGCAGATGCAAACTCAGGAGATAATCTCTAGTTTTAGGATGACCACCAGGTTTTTCTGTTGCGAAGCGGGTTGTGAATGATGTCAGTGAAGTGCTGCTTTCAAAAAGCAAAGCCGGACAGAGGAGACCTTTACTTTTAATCTCACAGAGTTATGTGCAGCCTTATCAGCCGAAGCCTCTTCCCTTATCTCTCTCCTTAGCCAGGCACACATTTGCTCACAGCAGCAGACACTGCTGCTGGGAGACAGACCTTTTGGTGGCACAAAAGGCACGTTTTTTTCTTGGAAGATAATGGGAATGTCTTGAGGACTCAGGCTGGCCTGACCTGGTTGCTAGTTTCTAGACATTATTTTCATGCCGGTAAGAAATAAAATGCAGGAGGGAATGCTGCATCCCCGCTCCCTTTGGCCGTGTTTCTGTTGGCAGTGCAACTCRGCTTCGTTTAAGCCGTTCTGACTTCGGGAACTCGAGTGCAACTCGGCTTCATTTAAGCCGTTGAGCGGGACTGGTGGCTACTGAACACGGTCCCTCTTTAGGCAACACCCTTAGCAGAGGTCACTCATGAGGGTGGATGGAAGGCAACCTCTGCTCGTCGTCTGTTACTGCCACACTGTTGGCTAATCTTCTTTTTGCTATTGTTCTATCTTCAAGAGATCAAAAATCACAAGTAAGCATGAAAAAGCCTTGAGTTTCCTCCCCAAAATCATGAGATGACTTTTTACTGGTTACCTACAGAAACGAAGCTTGCAGAGCTTGCTTTATACCTAGCTGTCAGCTCCGTCCCACTAACTGCCCCACAGACATCGAAGAACCCACGTCAATTCTCTGTTAGGTCTCATGGAGAACACATTTATATTGACTCCTGCACCTGAGAAGCACTCGTTGCAGCTGCATYAGCAGCTTGGGGGCTGTCGCTGCTGTTACTGAAGGCAATGCCATGTTCCCCATCAAACCCAGCTCTGCATCATCATCCAAAATAGTGCAGTTCATGTGGGCAGCAGATACACTGGGGATGGATCATGAAAAGGGATCCCTTTTCCTCTGTGAAGCTTCGGGCCATTAAATACTGGTGAAAAGGGCTGTTTTGAGAGGTCGTCTGACGGGCACTGCACTGATGCAGTGTGAGCCAACCTCCCCATGCTGTCCCTCTCCTGAATAATGCCCGATGAGGGCAGAAAAAACACCTAGCTCTCAGTCTTTAAATAGAACTGCAAAGGAATATACATTTGGAAGGCAATTTTTATTAAATTCTAGTCCAAGATATAAGCTTAATAGGAGCATTTCAATGTGAATATTAGAAAAATTCGTTAGAAGACTTTAGTCCATGATGTAAAATGTAGATGCTCATAAACTAAAAGTAATTGTTGCTAATTTAAAGTGTGGTATTAACCTCAGCTTGGATATTTTTTCACAAGTAAAGACCAGCCCATTCTCTGCATGGCGATATGGTAATCAGCAGGAATAAGAGGTTTCTGTATAATTTCTCTTTCTCCTGTACCTGGTAACCTGTCCCCATGTAGTCTACTCCACTAGGGGAGGCTTGTGCGGGATGGATGCTGTTGCTATTTATTCAGTTTCCTGTTCTGAATTGCAGCTACTTGTTCCAGTGAGAATTGCCACCTTTTACAAAATGACCAAACTTCCCAAAAACCACAGGGATTCATTTTCTGCATACTCTGTGTCTGATTGCCATAGACGTCAACATGGCTGATTTTTTCTAATATTCCCTAATTTCTGGTCCATTGGCTAAGCTGTTAGTAGTAAGACGATTCCTGCCAATGCCCTGGAAAAAGGTGCGCTAGACAAATTCTGCCTGTGCTTCCAAGGGGTGGGATGGCTCCAGTGCGTTTCCAGCAAAGTGGGACAGCTCCTTAAGTCAACAGGGACGAGGGGGAGGAGGATTTATGTGTTTAAGGTGATTATTCTTTATTCTAGGTATGGTGTAAGCTGCAAAGGCAGAGAGTGAAGTCTCTGTCATTAAAGCCCTGGGATAAAATTTCTCTGTTTTGTAGTGTTTAATATTTCATGGATTTTAAAATGCCAATTAGGGTTCGTAGCAGTCTGCTAGGAACAATATGCAGTTTTCAGAGGACTTTGTCCAGTTCCTGCAGTCCATACCTACATCTATGGACTCCGTTGCTGTCACAGCATCCAAGGGCTCGGGGATGAGGGCTATGAAGTTCTCAAGCCAACAAAAGTGGTCCTGGCAGGCCAGTGTGCAGAGAGTTCTGCACATTCACTAGGAAAGCAACTTTTACATCTGCCTTGCAGCTCTGAATTTGTATTAATTTTCATTAAAATAGCATTACATATATCTATACACACAGAGGTGCTGTCTCTGTGACCAGCTGGCAAAGCCACTTAATAAACAAATGAATCTTTGGCTGCCTCACCTGCATCCTCCCTACTAAATCCATTTTCTTTGCATCTGTGCCAAATCTTGCAGCAGTGTCTAATAAATATCATTAAAAAATAAACCATCTCCCTGCAAACCTGCTCTCTTTCCCCTTGGCAGGTGAGCTCTCCATGCCTGCTGTGCTGTCCATGGCGCCAAGGCTGAGGCCTCCAGCAGCTTTTCTAAAATGTCCTAAAATCGTGCTGAGAGAGGCCCGTTTGCTGACAAGTCTTTCCTTTTAGGAAATACCCTGTGCGCGGCCAAGTAGGGTAGCGCTCGCAGAATAACCCCAGGCAGCTGAGGACATGAAGAGTGGGGTATTTTCGAGAGCCAGCTAGGAGGCCTGTAGCTGTAGGAAGAGCAGCTTGATTCCTTGAGCACGTCCCTTATTGCTCTGTCATTCTCCGGGAGCATTAGGGACTGTAGTTAAGAAGCTGCACCAGTTTCAGACGTTATGCACCTCATTAATCAAAACATCCTTTTGGAAGGCAGTTGATTGCAGCCGAGACACAGAAGCGCTTCCACCTCAGCATCCCTAGTACCTAGAGGAGCAAAAACAAAACAAGGAAAAAGATCTTTAATGCTGCGACTGGCTTAGTTTGCATTGTCCTGCCTCCAGGAGCATTTGAAAATTGAGATTTATTTCCCCAGAAAAGCGTGCTCCACCAGCGATGCTGATGAAATTGCTAATATGAAATAATCATCTCGCTGGGTAGCTTTGCTGTAGCTTATTTTAAATGARTCACAGTCGGTCTGGGATGTGCCTGGCGGAGCGGGGAGAAGGCGCAGGGAGCCGCTCCCGGGAAGGACTCCGGAGAGCGCGGCTCCGGAGCTGGGCAGTCCCATGCAGCTGGAGCAGCTGGAGTCACTGCCGGGGGCTGCGCTTCCCTGGAGCCAGCGCTCCAGCAGCATCGGCTGCTTTCAGTGGCAGTCCCTAGGCTGGAGGGAGGCACTCCTGGACGGGGCAAGGTGAGTGGGACAGAAGCAGCRCATTCCAGAGGCCGGGAGGGCTTCCTTGCTGCTGTCCCTGCTCCTCACCGCTGCTCCCATGGGTTTCTTTTTGGCACAGCTTGATTTTGGGTGTGCAAAACAGCAAACACTCTGGGAAAACCCTAGGTATCAAATCTGTGCAGAAATCTGTGCGCCAGCCTGCTGTGTTCTCCCGTACGGCCAAGGAGAGGCTCCTGGAGCACCCCTGGCTCCAGGGGCTTYGCTGGGAAACCGCAGGACCGATTTATCAGCCCAGGAACTTCTCGGGCATAATCAGCCATTCCCAGGGCTCGACTCCTCTCCCCACAGAACTCCCGAAGAACAAAAGAGAGGAAAACCCAATTCTGGCCGTTTTTCAGCGCACCAGCCTCTCTCACAAGAGGCARATGATAGCACGGCGAGGAGCGGGATTCCCGCCTGGCATTCCCGTTACGTTGCCGGGAGCATCCCGGGAACCGGGGGCGGCAGCGGCAGCCCCGCGTCCCCGCGCTCCTCGGCAGCCTCGCGCCGCAGCTCCCGGCGCCGCCACCCGCCTGGATCGGCTTCCCGCGGGGAGCGCCGACACGTGCGGCGGGAAGGCGGCGGCCGCGGGGAGCCGCGGGG